CATAGCCCCCTGTGAGAAGGAATACAACTAAGTGTGTCATAGCCTCCTGTGAGGAAGACGACAACTAAGTGTGTCATAGCACTTTTGATGGAGCTGAGATTCATTCCTTTGTAGAATATTTTATCAGGTTGGGGGATGAGGTGAGCGAATGTAAATCGCATCGCCACCCCACACTCAACAGAGAATAATATATAARTAGGGAGTTAAAGCCGAGGAGAACCGTGGAATAAGGGAGTCTGAGAACTTATAAAGCTCTATTTACACTTTTTCCTAGTCCAGAAATCAAACCTGAAATCCCAGAGATGTAAGATGAGTTTAACCGGTRCGCTTCCCTCGATACTAGGGACAAATTAGTGTGGCATCATGGGAAAGCGAGGTATTTAGTTGCACACTGACAGGCGTTTCACCGTGCATTCGTAGACACAGATAACACGCTTTCAGCTTCAGTCTTATCGTCCATATTTTCTAATATTATTCTATGTATTAAGGTGAAGAAGGGACGTTACAGCCTAGTAATAGCGGACACCAAATTTTAAGCTCTTGTAAAGTTTTGATCTTCATCTAGCGTAAACTACAGCTTTTTGTTAGACAAAMGAAATTGTTTTTGAATTTATAATTTAAATGAGAATGAAAAAAGACTAATTTACTTACGCCATTAAAGAAAAAGCGTTTATGAGTTAAAAAACGAATAACTATTGTGCGAACGAATGAATGRATGTACTAATAAATAAGGGAGGGTGGGACTTTAATTCAAGCGCTAATTAACCTACAATGCATAGAATATTGAATAACGCATAAACAATACTACAAATAACGCTATGATCCAGAAAACATTTAGCAAATGCATGTATGCATTCGTTTGGTAATATTAACAAATACCCCACTGAGAAACTGAGAACTATAAGTATCCTTTGATAAAATATGTGTATAGTAAATGCATGCTGCAGAAAACCCGATACGGCAATTTATACATAAAACATGTCAGAAAACATCAAGTATTTCCTTTAGGAACAAAAACAGTTGTTTGTTGAAAAAAAACACCATCAATTGGAAACATAATATAAAACTAACAAAATTAGATCTACCGGATTTACTTCACACACACACACACACACACACACAYAYATATATATAGTTTTCGAATGAACATAAAAAAGTGTGCAAGGGATTCTGGTAGCTGTAGTACRTTACGTCATACYAAAATCTATCGAAAAACTGTCGATTTCCACTGACGTTTGATTTTATATTTGTTCTGCATATAAGTATTAAGCTTTCAAATATTTTCATTGTTTTGGCGCATTAAAATTTAATCTATGTTATTTTGTTATATTGTCAATGGGACCGCTAGATATTAACTTTTAAACTCACGCAAAAAATCTCTCAAGGGCTTTTGTCAAAACAGATCTCGACAATTAAATATATTTTTAAGTGAAGTTAAAATGGTGTTCCAGTTAAAAGATTGAAATTGGTGGAAAAAACGTCAACACATTAATGAAAAACTTTTAGTACTCCAGGCAGTACACATGTACTTGGACGGTTTTAACATAATGGCTAAACTTTGAGGGCTGTTACTTCAAACTATTAAGACATAAAAGTTTTACGCTGATTGTGGGCTATTGCCTCGAGTCAGATGCTATAAAAATTGAATTCAATAAGTGACAAATGTTGTTGAATTAAGCCGAATATTATGACAAAATTATGTCTAAAATGAGGCCTTAGTCTGACATCCTGACCGCCTTTTGTCATCGAGGAAATGATAATGACCCAAAAAAGGTTTSTTTTCCTTTTTATTTTTTTATTTATTTATTCTTTTTTCCTAATAGTATCATTTATCTGACAGTAGTTTTATATCCTTAAACAAAACAAAAAAATGAAGAAAAAGAATTATTTTACCCGAGGTTGGATTCAAACGTTTGTGCTCAAAGATAGACAAGCTGCGAATATCGTTACTTGAAAACATTTGAGACTATATTAGGCTAATATAAGTTTTCAAGTTGATAGCCTCACAACTTGTTAAGACCAGAAAAAATCCAAAATTATATTACAAATATCTCAATCAGTCGATTCTTTATGAAGTCTCAAATGTTTTCAAGTAACGATATCGGATAAAAATGTTTGGATTTAAAGGGTCTTTCCCCACTTGTTTCGAAACAAGCTAAAACAGTTTTAGTTTTATATATTCAACGTGAAATTTCGAATTGAAATTTAGTTGGCTGCAGATTGAAAACGCTTCGGAAAAAAAAACTATTCGTAAGAGAAAACTTATAAAAAACACCATTAACTGGGTTCAATGACAGAACGACCCAATGCAAAGAACAAAAATAAAAAGCGTTTTTACGAAAGCCAGTTGAGATTCAGTCTCCCTAGCCAACGCCTTCCTTACTGCATGCATTATCTATCCTCCATGTTTCCCTAAGTGACCACTGTATTCAACTCCATAACATCTGCACCAATAAGCCAAGTATCTTTGAAGAGTATACCACAATTGCGTATTAGGAAACTCGATTAAACTAAGTTTTAGTCAATACTTCATTGTAAAAAAAACCACGATTGAATAGGTATAAGGAACTAAATCAATGAAAAAAATTATAACCCATTCCAGACAATGGAATCATTAGGTTTGAGTTTAATACGCATGTTACTAGCCTCGTGTTGCGTGCTGTGATGAATGGAAGAATTTCTATAYTTTTATTTCGTGGTAATTACTTTGAGCCATAGTAATAGTCTATTAATGCTGTTTTGTTCTTATTTGTGTGCTGAATCTTGCTTTTGGTAGCAAAGAGATTAAATGAATAGGAAAAGTTTTATTGGTTTATAAATGTTTCATGAAGAATGAGGTGCGCCGATCGCCAGACATCGAGGTCCTTTTGTCAGATATATCGTATTATGGATAAATGCGACTCCGTAGTGTTTGRCTTTTGAAAAGTGATTTTTAATCGTTAATGGAACTGTAACGGATCTTTTAAATAGAATAATCTAAGTAAAAAAAATGGCTTTGAAAATGAACTAATGACTAGTAACATTCAGTTCAATTTTCTATTTCATTTTGACAGCAGTAAGTCGACCGGAATAATCGAGCCATAAGCAGGGCCAACCGGCTCTCTATCGCCTGTCCAACCACCTAGTCTGTATCGGTTTCCTTCAAAAAGAAATATGTCTTTCTTTTTTTCTTTTTTTTTTTAATTAACCTTGAAAACCCTGTATTTTTTAGAATAAAGTAGTACTACAGATTTATCGGAAGAGACTAAAAATCCAAAGGTGTCATAGAAAAGCCGAACTAAACAAGTGAACCTCGAGAAAAATTACTCCAAACACCTCGATAAGATCGAACATTTGAAGTTTCTATCGACATTAAACTGGCTTAAAGTGAATTCTGAGTTGAGTGGTCGAAGGATCTAGTAACTCAGTATATATATTAGTTCTCATTTATCTGGGACATAATTTTATTYGATTACATAAGTTTGTCATGTCGGTATACCATGAGAACAGTACAATCACGGCCGACATTACCGTATAGCTATCTCCGCTGTTCAAATCAACCGTGACATTATACTGTAGCTTTCGTTTGTTTGTTCAATAATCTATAATTATGCCAACTTATTCACTTTCTAATTTTAGCGGAATTGAAGCTGTTAAGTTTTGTTCTTTGTTGGCGAAGATGTCCGAACAGAAAGCAAGCTTTTTGAGGGCGAACAAAAGGCAGGGGATGTTTACTTTTTGATTTAAAAAGAAACACTCAAAAATGCTCATTGAGTTTGAAAATTACTTTTTTTCATTTATGTTTAGATAGCAGCGGAGATTGGTAATTGAATATGATTGTTAATTTGAAGATATGGCCTTTCAAAACACTGAACTGAAACTGATTTACCTTCAAATGTATAATTCATTTACACTCATTTAGCCCGTTAATCGTGCTTGCTCTGGTTCCTAAAGTGACTTCAAATCGATCTCTGCTGCCAAAAATTACGAGTTTTCCATTTGTGTCTAGGAAATAGGTTTTGATACGATTCTTAAGTTAATTTGTTTTGGTTAAAACGTTTCAAAACAAAAATTACTGAAGAAAAATACTGTGCTATAACACGGAATTGTTTGGACTTCATGAATGAGTGAAACTTTAGGCGTTGGTGGGCCTTCACCTGCTCCAAGTTCAATACCCAAAAACATTTTCATTAAACCAAAACATTCAAKATGTTTTTGAAAGTATGACATCCATTATATATGACTATAAAAGATGGAAATTTTTTTTTTTAAACCATAAAAAAGTAAAAACTCTATGACCTATGTTAAAAAAAATTGTCATCGCCAATGGGGCCTAGTCGATAGGAGGTCATTCCGATAAGGRAATGGTTTCGTTGAATRCAAAGAACATCGAATCAGTCTCRTTACTAAGTTCCATGTTCTTGACGAGAATAAGAAGCAGAAACACAAGTCATTCCAGTGATTCTTGGATCTTGAAATGACCTATCTCCTATCGCTTTTCGACTACCTCCTATTGCCTGTCGCCTTYGGAGRTGACAAAGTTTTTTGAATTAGGTTTTTATTTTTGATAAAGATTCAYAAAGTCCATTTCTCAGACATGAGTTCATCGTGGATGCTTTTATCAAGTCAAATACTCATGGCATATCAAAGATGAATGTGATTAGCGCCCGTTGATAAGTTAATAACGGTACGACTCGGCAACTGATCAGTCCTTTTCATCTCGAAAACGCGTTAATAAACATTAATTAGTAAGTCAAATCTACGATGGCCAAGCGTGTATGACGACGTCTAGTCAAATGACTCCTTTTCTTTCGCTTCAAGTACCGGGAAACAAGAAGACTGCACGCCTTTGGCATTACTAAAGCCCTTGTGTGCACTTCATAGAGGGGGCTTCCAATTACAGTCCAAATGTTTCAAAACAATTGTAACTTTAGCTAGAGAGGCAATAGGTAGTTGATTTTTGAGGCGGATATGATGTAATTCTAGAAGGCAACACAATATGGACAGGTGCTTTCTTTGCATATATTGAATGGCTTGGCCCAAAATGAACACTCCATAACGTGAGCTCAAAAGGTGTGGAACAACTAAATTAAGATACCAAACAGGGTRCCAAGCGATTTCTTGATAAAATCTTCTGATTCTTGCACTCCAGTTCACCACCAAGTCTTGACTCACAGTGAGTACACTGATAACCTGTTTTCTAATTCTATAGTTATTATTATTAACATRGGAGATCTAAGATTTCAAGAGTCTCTTTTGCGATGACTGATATCAGAGTAGGATTGCATGCTTTCAGCGGGATRTAATCCATCCAGGTTTTGCGCTATATTCATTTTAACAATCATTCTTTGGTCTTTTTTATTCACTGTCGGCACAAACGCCTAAACTGCGTTGATCATTGATCTTTATCAACATTCCATGTTTTCCAAAAGCTACTTTTCAAATCAAATGCTCTAACTTCATTCTTTTTAATTCCTAATATCCTAAATAGTCTTAAAATCCATTTTTTTGAAAATAGGCAGCTTTAAGAAAGTAGTTCTCATAGAAAKAGGATTTTGGCTGTCAGCGAAAGACGCTGCCTTTAAGGCAGATTGACTGATTTACTGCTCGAGGGAGCACTTATTGCTTTTATAACCCTTTCAAATCTTGTAGTTATCTTCAATTAAATGTGGCTTAGAATTAAGTGCTGCTAAAAGTCGTTCCTTACGCAAAGTCCAGTGTTTATTGCGGCTGTCTACTAATCTGTCCCTGGRGAAGACGTTCGGTATTTTTTTAGCTCAGAAAATGTGTTTTAAACCTAGATCAGTGTTAGACATATTTTATCTACAGTTTTAAACCCGGCACCTTCCCTTTCTTCTGTTATTGTCATTATTTGTGTAATCTTTTAGTATTCGACTTTGTCTTTATTTCTTTCTTTTCTTTTCGTTTGTCTACTTCTTCTTCTCCTTCTCCTTCTTCTTCTTCTTCTTCTTCTTCTTCTTTCTTCTTCTCGTTCTCTCCCACACTTTTTCAGTACTATGATGATATCACAAATAACTTTAGAAAACAATTTCGACTCTGACGTTAAAAAACCTTTTTTTTTCTTCTTCTTCTTCTGTACGTTCTGTCTTATTGAGGACCTTAACTTTTCAAGTTTCTTTAAACTTATTGTTAATGTTTTTYCCCTCTTGAGAGCAAGCGAGTTCCGCTAAGGATCCTCGACGACTCTTGGACAGGAAATTTGTTTGTAAAAATGTGTTTGAATTATCTATAAAACAAATCAAAATCRCAATCCGTTTGGAAAAGCTGGCGTGTCTTTAACTATGAATGGAATGGCTCGAAAAATTGAACCATGCTTACAAATGAACTATCAACGAAAAATCTTGTCGCAAATATAGCTTAATGTTTTTTTTAACATGGCCCTAGAAAGCTCAGTAAAGTCTGGTCCGTCAGTAAAAATTATCTCTTGTTTTGGTTAACATGATTATTGCCAGTTAATCAGTTATTTTCTAGGTTTTTTAATCGAATTTTTAATTGAACCGCGTTCAATTTTTTCTCAGGTTTATTTAAACTTTAGTAATATTTCAATTCTATTCAGAAGGTCAAGAAGAGTATGTTTATGGCTGCCAGCCGAATTACGATGTCATTGCTGCCATTGGTTTTATTTTCTTTAAATGAAAGCGTGGTTTATAATGTTTTTAAATGAACTATTACCATATTTATTGGCTGTTACGGGAAATTRGATGAAGTTATTGTATTTGAACAAGTATGGCGTGGGCCCTTGAAAACGCTACTTTTCAAACAGTTTGATTATTGTTTTTAAAAACGCATCGGTTTGTAAGTTCATCGTAATTTAACCCACAAGAGCACATGATTGTAGCACCAAGTATATAGAGTTTCTACACTAATAAAAATGCTTTTATATTCACCGAATCGAAATATGGCGACCAATTTGAATAACTATTGYTCKGCACTTACTAGCCTCGTGTTCACTTGGAAACGGAAAAGCGTTTTCACACGTATGAGAGGCTAGTCAGTCGCTAGTCAGAGCATTTCGCCATATYTTGATTCGGTGTAYACTAGTATTCTTGATTTTGCTCACATTTTACTCCAATCAAAAGAGGGTAAAAAAAACAGTCCAGCAAATTTTATGCGAAGATTTTTTGAGCAAACAATCTCCGCTTCTTTTTGTACTCATTATCCCGCCTCGATTACAATAATGTCATACAAGTATTTTTGATTTTGCTCACATTTTACTCACATTAAACAAGAATCGGTCAAGCAAATTTTATGAGAAGATGATTTAAAGCAAAAAAAGTCCTCGGCTTCTTCTACTCGTTATCGCTTCATGAATTCCATCAGAATACTGTTTTATTAGTTTTGAACTGGTGTTGTGTGCACACGTTTGGTTTCCAAAAATACGTACAAGTTTGATGTGGGAGCAACTAATGCCATGTGTAGGCAGAGATTTCTGTTTAATTAAACAATTCATTAGGCAAAGGAACTTAATTGTTCGGAATTTGCGATACGAGTGGGTGACAAATATTTTGGTTCTATGCTATAGTTTATTTCTTGGCAACGGACATAGTTGTGACGTCATCACGGTTATTTTTACATTTCTTTTTTATTCTTTGGTGTTTCGTTTTAAGACTTTTAATTCGTATTGGCTACTCGCAATATTTCTTGCTAACACGCAAATTGTCAAGTGGTCCGCGATGTGTGATTTAACACGTGGTTACATGGCTACGATATCCAGTTTATCTGAGAAAAAATGTGAGCCAATCAGAATCGAAAAATGGCAAAAATAAGTGTCACTTTTCCATTTGAAATCACGGATTTCCAGGCCACAAAATGAAAAAGACTAACATTGTTAATACTCGCTTGATAACAGTGATACATAGTAAATCATGAGTTCTATTCCAATGGTTAGCTTGTTTTTATTATTCTGGGTAAACTTTCGAAGGCTTTATGACGCCTCAGTTTTGTAGTGACGCAATTTCTACGTCACTATTTCAGAGCAGCTGGTTTATATGGAGAATCATGAGAAGAGCATCAGAAGCTCACATGGGGGTTTGAAACGTATAACGCCCATGCATTTTTTT